TAAACTGAATTTAGGATTTTCATTAGTTGTCAGTTATAATGATCAAAATGAAAGAAATAAACATTTGTAATATATCAGTCTGCATGTAATGAATGAATCTAACGTACACGTTTAACTTTTTGAATGTAATTACTGAAACAAATCAATTTTGTCATGAGATAATCAGTTGTAGTCTTCCACACGTTTTCACACAAAACGTAAAGTAACTTTTGCCGCCTGTCAAAAATAAACGTTTTCTTAAACAAAATGTGTCTTTTCAATTCACGTACATATTTTAAATCCTGAGCATATTTGAAATAGGATCAGAAAATAATTTTTAATAATAAAGTTCTGACTAGATATAGTCATAATTACCTCGACGCATGGCTCTGGCCCCATGTCTGTTTTCTTGAGTGGCTGTTGGAATTTCTACCACTCTTGAGGCGCTCCCGCTGAGAGGCGCCGAGCCGGGGTGGGTGTGCTTGTGTCCCGTCCCTCGCTCTAGATGTTGTGGAGCTGTACTGGAACGCCTTGTGTGAGGTACTCTGGGAGTATGGGGTGCCAGGCCCTTTGATACAGGCTGTTAGGTCCCTGTATGACTGATGTCAGACCTTGGTTCGCATTGCAGTTGTCGGTACAGGATCGGCTCGGGGTCCTTCGACTGCTGATGGCGTCAAAGGAGTTGATTGGCTGAACATGAAGCTTACGGAAGTTACGTTATCACATTATGATTTTGATTGGTCAGAACAAATTTGCGTTCCATGTCTTTGCGGTTGTAGTCCTGTAGTCCAAAAATCAACACTTTTTGGAGAAAATATGTTTGAATTTCTAAAGGAAATGTAAAATATAAGAAAATAATAAACGGTGACCCTCAACAGCTCTTGATGTTGATAAAATGGAGCAAAATAAAATTTAAGAACTTTATTGAAAGACACCAAGCAATATTTTGAATCAAAGAATGTATTTAGATAACAACTAAGGAAATATACAGACGAACTCCACATTAATACAAACAGATATGGCTTCACATATAAGAACTGTTCTATTTTTTGTCAGTCCGAGTTGGTTTTATGCAGTTTCACATTCTTTACAAAACAAAGATAATATGGTGTTTTATTAACAAATTACAATTATAAAGAAAACATTTAGGTGTTAACAAACTAGCATTTATTAACAAAACTGCTGATGTCTTTCCAAAACGTATGTGTGAAAGCTGAGTAGATTTTCAGTAATGTGACGTCATCGGCAGTCAAAGGACCCCGAGCCGTTCCTGCACCCGAGCAGATCCTGTACCGACGCCGGCAGTAAGTCAGGCTTGTTTCCGGCGAGAGTTGGACTTTGCCAAGGCCGCCCTTTGTCACCAATTCTGTTCATACCTTTAACGGACATGATTTCTAGGCACAGACGAGATGTTGAGGGGATCTGTTTTGGTGGACTGAAGACCAGGCTTTTGCTCTTTGCAGATGATGTGGTCCTGTTGGCTCCATCAGAATGTGATCTCCAGTTCGCAGCTGAGTGTGAAGCAGGTGGGATGAGAATCAGTTCCACCATTTCCGAGACCATAGTCTTGAGTCAGAAAAGGGTAGAATGCCTTCTCCAGGTCAGGGATGAGGTCCTTCCTCTAGTGGAGGAGTTAAAGTATCTCAGGGTCTTGTTCACAAGTGAAGGAAAGATGGAACACAAGATTAATAGATGGAATGTTGCTGATTCTGCTCTGATGCAGTGTTGTTGTTGAAGAGAGAGCTGGAACAGATCTACTGTTCCTCCACATTGAGAGGAGCCAGTTGAGGTGGCTCAGGCATCTGTTAAGGATGCCTATTGGACACCTCTCTGGTGAGGTTCTCCAAGCACGGCCAACTGGGAGGAGACCTAAAGAAAGACCCAGGACATGCTGGAGGGACGATGTTTCTCATTTGGCCAGGGAAAGCCTAGATGCTCCCCGGAAGGGGCTGGCCCAAGTGTCTGGCGAGAGGGAAGTCTGGGTCTCTCTTCTTAGGGTGCTGACCACATGACCCAACCTCGGATAATCAGATGAAAATGGATGGATGGATGGATGGATAGATGGATCGATGGATTGATGGATGGATGGATGGATGGATGAATGGATCGATGTATAAGAGGTCAACTTGAATTTGCCAGAGGAGGGCACTCTTTTCTCACGCACCCCCTAGGTTTACAATAGAGCTAAGGGGCGTTTCTCAATGTCAAGGCGCCTGGCCTTGCAAGGCGATGTCTTGCGAGGCCAGGCGCCTTGCTTATGAGGACACTGTCCTTCCTTGGTCAAAGAAAATGGTTAAATGGAACAGACTTGCATCACGTTACCGCGTCTTCCATGGCGGTCAAGTAATGTCACGTGACACAGGAGATAACGTTGTATTTTATACGTATCAGTTTAAATATAAATGTATAATGAGCCTTTTACTTTTTAAATTGTGTATATGTTTATTAAATTAAAAATATAAGCAAGTTACTACCCGCTACTCACCGAAGCTGCAACTACTAAGCAACTAACCAACCATAGATAACTTCTTTGGATCTAAAAAAAACATTTAAAATTAGCTGACTTACTTTTAAATTTGAAAATTGCCCCTGAATAGCTGCTGGCTTCTGATCCGCCATCTTTTTGAAAATACTGCGGTGCATTCTGAGTAATTTTTCACCAAGGTTAGGCTACAAGACACCTCCCATGTGTCCTCGCTCAGCTAGCTAAACGGCTAACAAATGGAGACCACATGCCTCGGTAGAACATGAACACTGGAACACGTCTTGGTGGCTCCCGATGACGTATCTCCTAGGCAACCGGGGCGGGGGCCAAGACATCAAGGCAAGGTTCCTTGGCATTGAGAAACACCCAAGATGTTTGTCTTAGCAAGACACCGTTAGCTAAGAGGTGTTTTCTGGGCACACAAGCTGCCATATTCCTCCGTTTGTGTTCACTGCCTGTAAAATAAGCAGCACCCTGGCAGCTAGTTGCATAAACACATTAAAATAGAGTTAGAAATGGTCATTCACCTTACTTTTTATGTTTAATATGTCTGTTAAATTTGCTAAATAGCTACACATTGAATGTTGTATCACTGAGCAGAGGTTTTAGTGAAAAGCTGAACGTCAGGCTCATAGAAAATGGTGCTACACATAATAAATTGCAACTAGAGGTTCACAAGTAGGTGTACTGTAGTGTTTGTGCTAAACTAACAAAAGAAAAAGACAACAATCAGCAGACCCCTTTACTCTCAACAAGACTGATGTAAGGGAAACCCAGAACATCAACCGACTACAAAAATTCAAAAGCAAAAGACTTATTTGATGTGGATACAGATCTCATAAAACACAGTGCTCTAGTAAACTCTATAACTATAATTTGGCTGCTTTGGAGCATGGTAGAACCAGGAGGTGGGAGCGGTCAGGTCTGGAGGACCTGGCCAGGAAGTGAGTGGCTCTGCAGGTCCTGGGAAAGAACAGGCTCTGGTGTGGGATGAGGAGACTCAGGGTGGATGAAGTTGGTGGGCGGTGTAGGGCGACCTGGATGGGTAGAGGAGTGAGGCTTGGTCCTGGAGGCGGGATCCGTAATGTTTTCGCTGGTTTAGATGAGGCTGGAAGTGGTTTCCTGAAAGTGGAGTAGAAACAAAGAGTTGGTCAAAGGGCTTGGGAGACAACAAGAAAACCAGTTAGAAGCTCAGGAAGTGGCTAGATACACTATCCTGAAACACCCATGGTAGTTAATGGGATGATTCACCACAGCTGTCAGCTCCATGGCCCCGCCCACCTATAAGCATCTCGGGGGATTAGGGGAGGCCACTCACCTCAGACCATGACAATAACTTTCTGCACTGTAACTGCTAACCTTTTGACTATGCCTTTTATCAGTTTGTTAAATCTGAAATTAATATCTACTTTTCTTTGTTTGATTTGTTGTGTTTGCTGTTCTTGCTTCTGTAAAGCACTTTGAATTGCCTTTGTGTTTGAAACGTGCTATACAAATAAAGCTGCCTGCCTTGCCTAAAGTTAATGGATTTAAATCAGAAACTAAAAACTGTAATAGGAGTTCCACAAGGTTCCACCCAAGGTCCATTACTGTTTTGTCTATACATCAATGGCTTAGCCAACTGTTGTAAAGGTGTCCAGTGCCAAATGTATGCTGATGATGCCATCATCTATGTAACCGCAAAGACTCCCTGCAAAGACAGGCTGCAAAGTTGCTGAATGAACTGATGGTGGGGGTGTCTCGCTGGTTTCAAAATTAACCTTTTGACCTTGAATAAAACCATATACATGTGTTTTAGATCAACTCCAAGATTTCTGACAACTTCACTGTCTTCACTGACCAGAAAGAAATCAAACAAGTGGATGAGTTAAAATATCTGGGTGTTGTTTTGGATTTGCATCTTAAATTTCAGTCCCACATCAGAAAAGTGTCCAGAACCATTAGGACCAACCTCAACGAGAGGGTGCTCGCTGCAGACCTACAAAGGCGGAGCGAGTAGCCCCTGGCTGCATCCCGGAGATCGGGGCGGGGCTAAATGTGGGCGGGGTTAAACGTTTAGAGGTGGGTGGAGACAACTATTTGACTCCTGCCCCTCTCTCAATGGAACCAGGAAACTGCGAGTAGCCCCTTTCTAAGGATTAGAAAGCCCTAAAAACCCACAAAACCCATGTAAAGCATAACATTGGTAATCAAATGACTTGTTTGCTGGATGTCATGATAATTTTAAAGAGCAGATAATTACAGGCGCCATTTTTGATCCAATCTGTTCTGATATTTTTATTCTTTTTTCTACTTTTGTATGGTATGTGTATTTATAGCACATAGGTATTTGTGTCTTTTAGCTATACTTTTGGTACCTCTATAAAAGGTTCAAGCATTTATAAGACTATTCTTTGAACCTGTCAAAACCATTTTAATAGTTAATTTTATCAATGCTGCCTTTATTTTAATAGTCATTTCCCAAGTGAGTGTAAAACAGTATAGACAGACACAGGTAAATTTGTTGTACACTCAGTTATATCAGCTACATTAAGAGGAACAGAAACTTAAATTGTGCTGATACTTCTTAAAACACGCCAGGGTTTGAGGCGGGGTGGTGAGACATTGTGTGAGACACCCAAGAATGCAGACTAAATTTTTCAAAAAAGGTAAATTTAATAGAGCAAACAACAGCCAACACAGGAATAAAAAAAAGTACAAACAAATGAACCAAAAAGCACACAAAAAACAAGAGAACCTCCAAAAAAACAATGTGAGGAGGAAAAAGAATGCAAAAACTGTGACACCGCTGTACTATGGCATTTCAAAACCAGAAAACACCTTCATCTTCCTTTTTTCCTCAATTTCTCTGCAGAACTCCTCATAGTCTGACTGAAAACTAAACATGAACAGGAACGGTTCCCTGCAATCGTTCATCTCCTCTTCATCCAGGCCATCACAGAAGCATAACCTCTCCACTGCCCTCCGGCAAGCTTCCCTGTCCATGGTGATGACCTGGGGAAGGGAAAGGCTTCCTTTGAAGGACCTTGTGGTACACCACCTTGCTGCCTCAAAGGTGTCCTCAAGCAGAGAATTCTCCTAATCAAAAATAAAGACAATATTAAAATTACTGCTGTCAAGAGATTAAAAACATATTTTACATTAATTATGTATGATCTGAAAGTAATCTAATCTTTCAATTTAATCTAATAACTGTACATAATATAAGCCTTATTTTCAATGCTAATAGCTAGCCAAACAGCTGATGCTGTGGTCTTTCCAAACTGCAGCACGGAGGTGCGTCTGATACAGGAGAGAAGCTGTCAGCAGCCTTGATGCTCAGTGACACACCCATTACATCCAAATGGTAACAATAACTTTGGAAAAAGTTGCAAGAAGGGTGAAAAAAACAGAGTAAAGATAACAAGGTCGCTGAAATAAACACTGCTGCAGCTAATCTCTCACCGGTCTTGTCACTGTAACGTCAACCATTCAACTTATGAGTTTACATCAACCCTTCAAGAACAAGAAAAGAAATTGGTTTATTTAAAAGTCCCATAAAGAAGCAGTAGATTAAAAATGATAAGCATAATTAAAATATATAACACGTTAATCATGGCTGTAAAAAATTAATTGCAAGTAATGGAATTATTTGACACCTCTAATTAAAATAGAGGTTGGAGAAGAAACAATGACACAAGAAAAGTCCAGTTCCAGCAAGTTCTCAGCCTCTGCTAGAAAGGAAAAAGATTGTGGTTCATAAAAAGCATATTAACGATGCAAGTTGTAAAAAAGATCAGTTGCTTAGTATTCTGGTTTAATGAAAATAGAGAAATGACTGGAAAACTTGTTTTAAAAAAAAGTGATCTGTCTGGAACGGTCTTAATTTTCTAATCTTGGCAAAGTAAGAATTTCATTGTGCAGAAAGCGTGTTTTTCTAGCTGTGCATATGACAAAAGGTTGAATCTTGAATCTTCCCACATCCCATTTCGACAACCTAGGGGGTTGTGTACAATAATACTTGTTTGAACAATACCTGATGCTGCACAGACTAATTCAGTATGGCAGGACTTCTTAGGAGGGACCACTTCCAGGCCCTGAAATAAGTGAAGGAATTATGCTTTAGTCTGCAAGCAACAGTTAAACTACAAGAATTAATCAAATTGTCTCTCACCTGTTTTACTCTTTCCTCTCTCCGTCTTTTTCGTGCCTGCACCCTGTCTTCCTCAGACCTTGGTGATACAATGACAACATTCATTCACTATGAAAACATTCATGTTATTCTGTTGACACTTGACTGAGCAAAATGTTTATATAATTACACATATCAGATTAGCACTCTAACCATAATAATAAAGCCCATCAGGTGTAGAACTCAGATACGAACATAAAAAGCTTAAAAAACTAACATATTTCCCCCTGTAAAATATATTTTCCACCAAAAAGTAATCATGACTACACAACATATCTCCCCAAAGCTATAAAAGTGTTCCTACAGGTTTCTTCAACTTAAATTTAAGTCTGTTTAAGATCTTTCTAAAGCCATATGGAAAATTAATACCTATTTCACGGCACTATCAGCAAAAAAGTAAATAAATAAAATAAAATTATTGAACTAATTTCATTTATTTATCTATACAACTTTACCAATATATTTTGACAAAACACTGGGTGGGCACTTGGTAGAAGATCGGTTATATTTTTAAACAAATGGTTAAAAATATAACCGATCTGGTTGGACATTAGAACCTTAATAATTTTTGTTGCCTATATTTTTGTTTAATTTTAAGACATTTTTTTTATTATTGCTAATTTTATTACCCTAATTTCTTGCAGTATTTCTATTGTATAAAAGCAACAGTGCAAACAGTAAAGACACAAAATTGAAATAAATGTCTAAAAATAGTGCTTCTCTTGGTGTCATCACTTGTTTGGAATATTTTGATGAACTTCAGAAGAAAAATGCAGTACAGAAAACTTACATCCAACACAAATTTTAAGACCCAGATGCCAAAATTGAAGGGTTTCTCCAGTCTTTTAAATGTATTACTTTCAAATTCATAAATTCAATGCTTTTAAGACTCTGTGGGAACCCTGTAAACATTTCTCCTCAAAAGTAAGTCACCCCGCATGTGTAAAATAGGCTATATGTATCATCTAAAACTCATAATGGGAAAAAAAACCTTTAATTTCCAAGTTTATAAAACGTTCGCCCAACATTGGTCCTCGATATTGTTAAAACAGAGAAAGAAAAATCCTAGCTTACCTCCATTTTGGCAGCTACTTCCCTCTGTCCCGACACCTGTCACAGCATTGCACACACACATAGCATAGCGGTTTCCTGGTTCAATTGAGAGGGGCAGGACGCAGGAGTCAAATAGTTGTCTCCGCCCACCTCTAAACGTTTGACCCCGCCCACATTTAGCCCCGCCCCGATCTCCGGGATGCAGTCAGGGGTAGTTGGGCGGAGCTGCACCATAAGGTGGAGCTGCACCAGAGTCAGCCCCGCCCATTCACGCAAACTCAGCCTAGCCCACTGACTTCCGTTTTTGTTTTTCAACTTTATCGCAAACTAACCTGACTCTCATGAATTAAGGCTGTTACTAGTTTACAGTCGTTAATGCTATGTTCTATGCTCCAATTAAACAAGGTAAATATAACTTGCTACATGACAAAGTCTGAATATATCCCGAAATGAAAAGGTTTCTTTTAGCGAATATCTGCCCATAGCCGCTCTAACAAAAGTCCTGTACAACAACATTTGATGTCATCATGTGGGTTCTGGTAGTCCAGTAGCAAGATCGTTTGACTTAAGTTTTGCTTTCCCCTCAGCTGATGCTGGTTCGGTTCTCGGTGGGTTCGGCAACAATCTATTTAGCCAGCTGAAACATTTAATTTGTTCATATTTTAGTTGTAATGTTCATTTTCAGCAAAATATTTATGTCTCTACAAGTTCTTTGAATTTGGTCGTTCCTAAACAGCATTTTAGTTGAAACTCTGCTCACAAATGGACTCACACTGGCTAAATAAACGAATGAATAAATAAAAAAACACATTAGTCATTATATGTTAAACGGCATACCAATAAATTGTTGTAAACATAGTACTGGCAAGTGTAGCTAGAAATGAGGAAAAGTGGTTATAGAATATTTCCACTACTGGGAGGCGAACCTGCGCAAAACTGCATTTCTACCAGACACTATAACCACTACACCACCACATCTTATAGAACATGAGTGGCGTTACATGTTATTCTTCTATCCAGTGTGTCTTTGTAGACTGGGTGTATGATTTTTCTGGCGGTGTCTCAGTAGAAGTCATTTCAGAAATAATTTGTCAGAAAATTCACAGAATATCCAGATTTGAGAACCAAGACCAGACCCGCTTCGGGGGAGGAGACCAAATTGAAGCTGAGATGGGAAGAAAATGCATGAATGAGGCCAAAAATGGCTTTGGCGTGTTTCTTATGAGGAAATGACAATATAACATGATTAAAAGTTCCCAAAGTTAGATTTTTAATTATATGGAACCTTTACAAAAACTGTTCAATTCACTTCTCAACTCCGTCCTCAATCTTGCATTTTTTTTAGCTATAACACCCTCTTTGGTTCCAGAATGCTATAAAGTCTGACAACTGGAAGGAATTGGACTGACTCTGATAGAATGGGCGGGGCTGATTCTGGAATGGGCGGGGCTGACTCTGGTGCAGCTCGACCTTCTGGTGCAGCTCCGCCTTTGTGGTTCTGCAGCGAGCACCACTTGACCTCAACTGCTTCCGTCTGCCATGATTCAGTTTCACCTCTCTTACTGTGTAACTGTTTGGAGCCAAGCAAGTTATGTGTCTATACAAACAGGCCCTAATAGACATCAACCAAAAACCAATGAAGTGGCACCATTGCAAAATACAGAAGACGTACAATATCCTAAGTTTTGATAACTTTATAAACTTCTTTGTTATTGAACTTACATTCAAATGGCTAAATGGCCTTGTTAAAATAAAACCAAACCAAACCAACTGCATTACTTTTCTTTGTTTGATTTGTTGTGTTTGCTGTTCTTGCTTCTGTAAAGCATTTTGAATTGCCTTTGTGTTTGAAATGTGCTATACAAATAAAGCTGCCTGCCTTGCCTAAAGTTAATGGATTTAAATCAGAAATTAAAAACTGTAATAGGAGTTCCACAAGGTTCCACCCAAGGTCCATTACTGTTTTGTCTATACATCAATGGCTTAGCCAACTGTTGTAAAGATGTCCAGTGCCAAATGTATGCTGATGATGCCATCATCTATGTAACCGCAAAGACTCCCTGCAAAGACAGGCTGCAAAGTTGCTGAATGAACTGATGGTGGGGGTGTCTCGCTGGTTTCAAAATTAACCTTTTGACCTTGAATAAAACCATATCCATGTGTTTTAGATCAAACCCAAGATTTCTGACAACTTCACTGTCTTCACTGACCAGAAAGAAATCAAACAAGTGGATGAGTTAAAATATCTGGGTGTTGTTTTGGATTTGCATCTTAAATTTCAGTCCCACATCAGAAAAGTGTCCAGAACCATTAGGACCAACCTCAACTGCTTCCGTCTGCCACGATTCAGTTTCACATCTCTTACTGTGTAACTGTTTGGAGCCAAGCAAGTTATGTGTCTATACAAACAGGCCCTAATAGTCATCGACCAAATACCAATGAAGTGGCACCATTGCAAAATACAGAAGAAGTACAATATCCTAAGTTTTGATAACTTTATAAACTTCTTTGTTATTGAACTTTCATTCAAATGGCTAAATGGCCTTGTCCCAGAGATGGTGAGCAGACTGACTGTGAAGCCAGCAGCACAGGAGCTACAACCAGAGGGGTAGCCAATGGAGACTGCAAACCACCAAAATACATTTGGTCAATCCTCGTTCTCATTTGGAGGACCTTAGATCTAAAATCTACCATCAGCAATAAAGCTGTTAAGAAATTTTACAACTTTTAACTCTGAGGTGAAAAAAATGGCTGAGACTATAACAGAATTGTAAACACTGATGTTTCTTATCAGCTTTAACGTCCAGGAATGGTCAGTTTTCACCTACAGATTGACCTACATGCCACCGGTCATCTACAGACATAAATTCCATTCTCTAAGGTGGATTTTACATTCTACCTTCCAACAAGCCCAGAAGGTTCTGCAGCTCTGAACACATGATAACGTATTGTCAACATCATGTTCCCTTCTCAAGGTTCTTCTCTGCCAAGCCTGTCTGCTTTTCTAGGCTGTCCTGCGCAGAATAAAGGACTGAACTGTTATAATAGTAAATAATCATATGGTTGAATGAACAATAATGGATGATGAATAATAATAATGTTTTGATTAATCTGTGCTTAAATGAATAAGTTTGATTAATCTGTGCTTGAATTACTGAAGTTGAAATTAATATTATTATTACATTGATAGACTTATATATGATGATCAGTAATGTTTGGTTTAACAAGTGAATCATTATCTACAGTCAGACACAATGTTCATTAGAGATAAATTAAAGTTAAATTAATGTCACTGCACATAAATATTTTCTTAGCCACAAACCAGAGCATCCTGTATCTGAAAGAAGGCGTGATGTTCTGAGGTTTGTTTGTAACATATTTAAATTTATTTAAAACTAATTCACCATCTAGTGAGCTCTGTTTTAATGTTCTCATATTATGATTTCTTGGCCAACCAGGACGTGCCATGTTAAGGGGTGTTCACAAGCAAACCTCAGAACGTTCCGCCTTCTTTCAGATACAGGTTGCTCTGATTTGTGGCTAAGAAAATATCTCTGTGTCATGACGTTTAACTTAACTTTAATTTATCTCTAATGAACCTTGTGTCTGACTGTAGATAATGATTCACTTGTTAAATCTATTATTACTGATCATACCATTATAATATACATTTCAAACTTCAGTAATTCAAGCACAGATTAATCAAAACATTATTTCTTATAACATTTGTCCATTCCATTTCGCTATTGATTAAATCATATGAGCTGAAAATAGTCACTTTATTCAGAGGCATGAGGAATCCTGTGGTGCTATCAGAAGAAGACTTTGTTTGGGAACACAGGCTGACATAGTGTTCCTCCTGAAATGTCAACAAGGTTTGCAGAACCTTGTTGCTTATTGGAAGGTAGAATGTAAAATCCACCTTAGAGAATGGAATTGCTGGTGACCGGTGGCATGTAAGTCAGTTTTTAGGTGAAAACTGACCATTGCTGGACATTACGTGTGTGTGTGTGTGTGTGTGTGTGTGTGTGTGTGTGTGTGTGTGTGTGTGTGTGTGTGTGTGTGTGTGTGTGTGTGTGTGTGTGTGGTGATAAATGTTATAAATGCTGTTATTTGATTGTCTCTAAAAGTCCAACCAAGGAACAGGTTTGCAATTTAGCCTCTGGCTGGAAATCCTCTATACAAAACAACGGTTACATTGCTCTTACATGTAACATTGTCTTTAGTGCTGTCCTTGTAAAATAAAACCAAACCAAACCAACTGCATTACTTAGTTCTTCATAAACACAAGAAAATTGTTGTTTTACCTCTTTATTGTTATAACATTTTTTTTGCTCACTTTTCGACCACAACTGCGTTCTTCCTCAGAGCTCGTGACTGCTGGCTGCATCATTTCCTTCTCTGTTTATGTGGCGTTGTTCTGTTTATCTTTTTTTTTCTTCTTGATGACTTTGGTCAATTTCATTACGTGTCTTTGTTTTACTTTTATAAATAATTTTTCTTGTTCCATTATGTGTCCT